ACACTGCTCAACATGCTTTCTTTTTGTTCATGGATGGATTTTCAGGATATAATTAAATAAGGATAGCTCTTGAGGATATGGAAAAAATTACATTTATTACATCATGGGGAACATTTTGTTACAAAGTGATGCCCTTTGGATTGAAGAATGCTGGAGCAACCTATCAACGAGCTATGGTGACTTTGTTTCACGATATGATGCACAAAGAGATTGAAGTTTATGTCGACGATATGATTGCTAAGTCAAGAACAGAGGTAGAGCATATCACAAATCTACAAAAGTTATTTGTGCGGCTAAGGAAGTATAAGCTCCGACTTGATCCTGCCAAATGTACTTTTGGTGTGAAGTTAGGCAAGTTGTTGGGATTTGTAGTTAATGAAAAGGGTATAGAGGTGGACCCTGATAAAGTGCGAGCAATTTTAGAAATGCCAGCTCCTAGTACAGAAAAAGAAGTTCGTGGTTTCTTAGGTAGGTTGAACTACATTGCCAGGTTCATATCTCAATTAACTGCCACTTGCAATCCGATTTTCAAGTTACTGCGCAAGAGTCAACCAGTGGTATGGAATGAAGATTGTCAAAAAGCTTTTGAAAAGATCAAACAGTATTTACAAGACCCTCCAGTTTTGGTACCTCCCATTTCAGGGAGACCTCTCATTCTGTATATCTCGGTACTTGATGAATCTATGGGTTGTGCGCTGGGGAAACATGATGCATCTAGAAGAAAAGAATAAGCAATCTATTACTTGAGAAAAAAGTTTACCGATTGTGAAAGAAGGTACTCTTTGCTAGAGCGAACCTGTTGTGCTTTGGCTTGGGTTACTCGGCGTTTGAGACAATATATGTTAAGTCACACTACTTGGTTAGTGTCCAAGATGGATTCGATCAAGTATATATTTGAAAAGCCTGCTTTGACTGGTCGAATTGCTCGTTGGCAAATGTTGTTGTCAGAGTATGATATTGTATATGTAACCCAAAAGGCTGTTAAAGGCAGTGCATTGGCTGAGTATTTGGCTCATCAACCCATAGAGGATTATCAATCAATGCAATATGATTTTCCAGATGAAGATATCATGGCTTTATTTAAGGAGGGGGAGTCCATAAATGGAAAGAAGTGGACGTTGTTATTTGATGGAGCTTCTGATGCACTAGGGCATGGAATTGGGGCAGTGTTGATTACTCCAGAGAACTGATTAATCCCTTTTACCGCAAGGTTGGGTTTTGATTGCACTAACAATGTGGCAGAGTATGAAGCATGTGCAATGGGGGTTCTAGCCATTTTGGAGTTTAAGGCTAGAGTGTTAGAGGTTTATGGAGACTTAGCATTGATTGTTCATCAACTCAGAGATGAATGGGAAACTCGGGATTCTAAATTAATTCCATACCACTCATACATCAAAAAATTTGATGGAACAGTGTGAGGAAATAACGTTCCATCACATCCCTCGTGAGGAAAATCAATTGGTTGATGCCCTGGCTACATTGTCTTCGATGTTCAAGATTAGTTAAGGAAAAGAGGTTCCACTATTAAGAATACAGAATCAAGGTCAACCAGCATATTGTCAAGCAATAGAGGAAGAACCAGACGGCAAACCATGGTTCTATGACATCAAGCGCTATCTAAAAGACAGAGAGTACCCTCCCGGAGCTTCAGAAAATGACAAGAAAACTTTAAGGAGATTGGCAATAAGTTTCTTCTTAAATGGAGAAGTACTTTATAAAAGAAATCATGACATGGTATTGCTTAGATGTGTTGCTGCTAAAGAAGCTATGGAAATCATGGAAGAGATCCATGAAGGTTCATTCAGAACACATGCAAGTGGACATGTAATGGTAAGAAAGATCCTAAGATCTGGCTATTATTGGTTGACCATGGAGGCTGATTGTTGTAGTCATGTGAGGAAGTGTCACAAGTGCAAAATTTAAGCAGATAATATTCATGTTCCCCCAGCATCTTTGAATGTATTGGCTGCTCCATGGCCCTTTTCAATGTGGGGAATAGACGTGATTGGTCCAATAGAACCAAAAGCATCCAATGGGCATCGATTCATTCTTGTTGCTATTGACTACTTCACTAAATGGGTTGAAGCAGCTTCTTATGCTAGTGTGACCAGAAACGTGGTGGTCAAATTCATTAAAAGAGCTTTAATTTGTAGATACGGGTTTCCAAGTCGTATCATTACTGATAATGGGACCAATCTGAACAACAAGATGATGAAAGAGTTGTGTGAAGGTTTCAAGATTCAACATCACAATTCTTCACCATATCGCCCTAAGATGAATGGGGCAGTAGAAGCAGCAAACAAGAATATTAAAAAGATTATTCAAAAGATGGTGGTCACCTATAGGGATTGGCACAAAATGCTCTTTTTTGCCCTACATGGATATCGCACTTTTGTTCGCACCTCTACTAGGGCAACTCCATATTCTCTGGTTTATGGTATGGAAGCAGTGCTTCCCATTGAGGTTGAGATACCCTCTCTAAGAGTATTGTCTGAAACCAAACTTGAGGAAGCAGAATGGGTTCATGCTCGCTATGATCAGTTGAACCTCATTGAAGAGAAAAGATTGAATGCCTTATGTCATGGTCAATTATATCAAAAAAGGATCAAGAGGGCTTTTGACAAAAAGGTTCATTCGCGAGAGTTTCAAGAAGGAGATTTAGTATTAAAAAAGATATTGCCACCTCAAAAAGATCATAGAGGGAAGTAGACCCCGAATTATGAAGGGCCTTATGTGGTAAAAAAGGCTTTCTCAGGAGGGGCTTTGATTCTCACAAATATGGATGGAGAAGATCTGTTGAACCCAATAAACTCTGATGCAGTCAAGAAATACTATGTATAAAGGAGAACACAAAATAATAACAAAAAAGCTCGCTAGGTTGAAAACTTGGAAAAGGCAGCTTAGACAAAATATAGAGTGACCTGGTAGGCTGAAAACTCAAAAAGAGTGGCCTAGGCAAAAGTTAGGGTCTAAAAAGAAAATGAAAACAAATAATAACAAAAAGAAAAGGCTCGCTAGGCTGAAAACCTGAAAAGACAGTTTAGGCAAAACTTAGAGCGACCTGGTAGGCTGAAAACTCGAAAAGAGCGGTCTAGGCAAAAGTTAAGGTCTAAAAAGAAAAAAATGAAAACAAATGAAAGAAAAAGAAAGACTCACTGGGCAGAAAACCTGAAAGGGTAGCTTAGGCAAATATCAGAGCACCTTTTCTATAAGAAGGTGAAGAAGGAGGAAGTAGATATTACAACCAAAGTACGAAGCTAGGGCAAATTGGAAGATCAAGGCAATGTTTAAAGTGCTCAGCAAGCATTTGATACCTTTAGAGGCCAATTAATGGGGTTCTCAAAGTTGTTGATATGGGGAATTAGTGTTACTTCCCTAAAAATATGATTTGTTATTCTCCCCTTGTTTTGGTTATTGCCATTCTGATGTACTTGTACTTTCTTCCTTGAAGCAATAAAAGCCCATATTCCTCACATTCGTCATTTTTGTGTGTTTATTTCATTATTATATTCTAAAAGTGCAACATGCGATGCAAGAAAAACAAAAAAATAAAGTAAAAAATAAACTAAAGTATTTCAATTACGATGTTTGATTCTAAGAGTCATAAAGAAAAGAAAGGTCTTCAACTAACTCTACTAAAGAAGATTATAGATGTTGAAGGCTTTGAATTGTACTATTCTAATCAGGCAAGATAGCCTATCTGGCGATGCAATAATTTGACAAGAGGTCGGCTTGAGCACTCATGCTCGTAAGGGGTCAAAGGTCGAAAAAATGATGGAAAAGAAGGATGAAAAGTGAAAATCCATTTAATTCTTTCCACTAAGGTCATTCCACATTGCATATCATGCATACATTTCATTAATAATGAACCGATCGAGCATTTATCGTAACTCTTAAGTTTAAATTTTCTTATACTTACTTGACTACCATCTCACTCGTATTAATGTTTCGAGCCTCCGCGCTCACTCTTTTATGCATCGAGCCGCCGCGCTCAATCCGCTCATTCTATTTTTTCTATGCTTTGAGCCCCCATGCTCATTCTTTTAATGTTTTGAGCTTTCGCACTCACTTAGTCAATGCTTTGAGCCTCTAAGCTCACGCTTTTAATGTTTTGAGTCTCTATGCTCACTCCATTAATGTTTCGAGCCTTTAAACTCACTCTACTAATGTTTCAAGCCCTGCACTCTTAATTCTCAATATTTTGAATCCCCGAGTCCATTGTTTCACATTTTGAGTCCCCGTGCTCATAGTTCTCGACATTTTGGATCTCCGAGTCCATTATTTTTATACTTTGAGTCTCCGTGCTCTTAATTCTCAATATTTTGGATCCCTGAGTCCACTATTTCCATATTTGAAGTCCTCGTGCTCTTCATTCTCAATATTTTGGATCTCCAAGTCCACTATTTTCATATTTGAAGTCCCCATGCTCTTAATTTTTAATATTTTGGATCCATGAATCCACTATTTTCATATTTAAAGTCCCCATGCTCTTAATTTTTAATATTTTGGATCCCCAAGTTCACTGTTTTCATATTTGAAGTCCTCGTGCTCTTAATTCTCAATATTTTGGATCCCTGAGTCCACTATTTTCATATTTGACGTCCCCGTGCTCTTAATTCTCAATATTTTGGATCTTTGAGTTCACTATTTTTCATATTTTGAGTTCCCATGCTCTTAGCTTTCAATATTTTATATCCCAAAGTCCACTATTCTTTTGATATTTTAGGATTCCTATGGTTATTACTTTAAGATTCTTATACTCTCCAATGTATGCTAAATTCTCATGACTATCTTTCCTCTAAGTGGCGAATACACGTAACTTTTGCCCTAGACAAAATTGGAGTTTAAGTCTTTACTTATCTTTTACTACAATTATATGAAAACTACTATTATTCATATTCTTTAGTAAAATTTAAGTAAAGAGGGGGCAACTGTAAACACCAATTTTTATCCCACTAATTTTTCTACTAATTTATTTCCCAAAATTTTCAAATTAATGATTCAAGAAAAAATCATTTACAAACTAGATTTAAACTCAAAAATACACACAATAAGCATAAATAATAAATAGAAAAAATAATAAAAGAAAATAAAAAAAAACAAGAAAATAACAAAATAATCTTTTCCTCTGCACCTAAAATCTCTACCATCCCACACTTTTCTGTACGGTTATTTCTTCTCTAACAAGCTTGCTGAGCTCCTCTGCCCTAGCCACCAACATGTCCCCAAGAGCATGCTTGTGCCATATATGCTTCCAAAAACATGAGCTTGGACCAACTGCCAAAGAACAATTAAAAATAATAGTGAGTCTATATATAATAGAACATGAACAAAAGGGGGACAACAATTTTTTTTTTTGAAAGAGAGAAGAATCAAGGATAACAAAAAATTTCAAACAGAAACAACTCAAGCAGAAGGCAAAAGAAGAGGCCAAAGTAGTGCAGGTATCAATTACTCTCTCTGATTTTTATTTAGTATGATGTTGTTATTATATAGGATGCAAAACAATTTCTGATTACTAAGACAATTTTATTTTTAGTGAACCTTTTACCATGTAATCGAAACCCTCATTCTCAAACCTCAGTAAAGCATTTAACAACTAAAAAAAATCTAGATAGAAAAATAGATGAAAATAGAATAAAAAGGGGTGATGAACAGTACCAGGAAAACAGTGCTTCCCGTGAACACCATTATGCACTGCTACCGTAGGCGATTTCCAGCCACCGCGAGTGTCGCCGTGCACCGCCACGCGCCGCGGTCGGAGGCGATTTTCGATGGAGGCATCGTCGGCCTTTAGCCTTTTCCGTGGACCTTTACTATGCCCGACCGAGACGAAATGCACACCACCGTCAGAAACGATTTCTGGTGGCGGCCACCACCCTCTACCTTTCTTCGTTTCCCTTTTTAGCTATCTCCTCCTTCCCTCTGCATATCCGGCCGTCCACCTTAGCTGCGACAATGCTATAGTAGCAGTCCGCCGCGCTATCGACGCTCGTAGAGGGAGGCCGCACGTGAAACCCTAGCAGAGTGCCTCTCCACTCCTCTCAAACCTCATTCTTTTCTATTTTAGGGTTTGAATGAGATGGTTAAGTGACCCTCTGATTACCCCATTTTCTTTCTAATTTGGGCCAAATATGCGGGCTTAAGCCCATTCAACAACAATTTATTTTATTTTATTTTTTTCTTTTCAAACCCTTAATATTATATATTTTCTTTTCTTTCTTTCTTTTCTTGTATATATAACAAGAAGCGTACGTAATTAATATATACGTACAACATATTTTACGTAGTTTTATATTAGGTTATAACGTAACCTTAATAATAATAATAATAGTTAATAATAATAATAATAATAACAATAATTTTAATCAATATTAATGTACTATCCGTACTCCGAAGCTGAGCTCCGAGCTCGGTACCACAGCACGAGCTAACCTCGGACACGCGCCACGTGGCGTCAGCTCGGCATTTAAGCAGATCATAACCGATCTCAAGGGATCCCGCTCTAGACGAGATCCACTATCTGATCTTATCTCAGGCCCAAGGCCCAAAGCAACCCTAATTCACACCAAGGTACGTGCATTACTTATACGAGATTCATATTCTCACAAACACTAACTTGAGCATCGGAGTCTCTTTTGCAGGTACCACCCCCATCTTGGAACACAAGTGTACCAGTGAAGGAGGCTCACCGATCTTACCTGGCAGATCAGCTCTACAGCAGATTTCCGGTAAGAACAATTAATATCATTAATATCTATCTTCTTAAAAAAAATTATTTTTATATGGCATTCCCTTAATATTAGATGATGATATTTGTTTCTTGTTTTAACAAAATCAGTTTAACTGATTTTATTTGATTAAGTTGTTTCTTTATATAATGTGTTAGATATTTACATAATTTTTAATTCATTTAGACAACAACAACAATAATGATAATAATAATTACTGTGATATCCTCTTATCAATATTAGTATTAATTATATCTATAAAAAGAGATTATTTGAATGTTACATTCCTTTAATCCTAAAACTTAAGGATGTAAGTCGTGACAACTTACTATCTTAAAGTTATTTTTTAATTCAAAAAATGCATAATTAAATATCAAAATATTACCACAATATTCAACATAAATATTCGAAATTATTATATAAAAGATTTTATTTGAAGAATGGTTAATTAGATGTGACATCTTTTTAACCTTTAAATTTAAGATACAAGTTGTGACAACTTGATATCTTTAGATTTTCTTTCCCAAGAAATAAAATATCCAACAAAAAAAAATCTTTTAACAAAATATCATAGTAGCAATAATATAATTAAAGCTAAATATTCTTTGAATTGATTCTGGTGTACACCTCAGTCAATTTTATATTTTAAGGTGAATGAGTTGAGACAATTCAAGAATCTTAAATTTTAAAAATTTAAAACTTAATTAAACACACAAATATTTTTTACGTAGAACTACGTGACTCTGATTCTTCATTACACATGGAGATACGTAGGAGCAAGAAATAAATCTTGTCGAGGCAAAAAAATTAAAAAAATATATATTATCTTCCTTTTTGTATAACAATAATAATTTTAACCTTTTTTTAGTGCATTAGTTAAATTAGTTAAATAAAATATATTTGATCATTTTAGTGAGATAAATGTTTTATAAATTATAGATAATTTGTTTAATTAATTAAAGGTAATCGTCTTAAGACGAACGTTGTGAGGTACTAATACCTTCCTCACACGTAATCGACTCCCGAACTCAAAAATCTAGTTTTCGTAGACTATTTTCTACTTTATGGTTTTTTCCAATGTTTTTCCATAAAAAAATAACATTGGTGGCGACTCCCTATTTTTTAATTTATTTTTCATCGTCCCGTCGCGATCTCAGTTGCGACAAGTGTTTAAACTTTTAAGTTTTCAATGGTCTTACCGAAGCAATTTAAACTTTTGGTGGTTCACATTTGATATAACATGTAACATCCGTAACACTGCAATTTTAAGCTTTGTTAATTAATTATATGATATATATTGATTAATTGTTGAATTGTTGTAATTGTGGTTATTTTAGAGTTCTTTGGTTTAAGGTATCTTTGAGAGTCAAGTTGTTGTTGAGATAGTTTTAGTTAGGAATGAGTTGACCAAGTTTTAAGAAAGGTATATAAGATTTTTCTTAAGACATAAAAATTTCATAAGTTCATATCTTAAAAAAGTTCAAAGAGAAGTTAAAGTGATGAACTTTGGAGTCAAAGATATTCTTTCTCCTAACTCCTCAAATTCCTTCTAGATCCATCTTGTAGTTGAGTTGAATTGAAAGATTAGGGATTCAAGGCCTTGAGAGCCGAGAATTCGAGTTGGAGAAAGTTGTACACAGCTAGGTATGTGGCATTGCATGGGTATGCCAAAGAAACTTGTCATTTTCAGTTGTCTAAATGTTGAAGTATGATGCATTACTTTCATGATGCATGTTATTACATCATACTAGTTCATTATGTATTGATCTATAATGTTATATAATAATGTTTTAAGTAGTTTAAGGTGATATTTACCTATTGCTGGAAGTTGATTAAGTTCCAAGATGTATATGTTATGTTTCAGTTATATGTAATAAGTTGATTTAAAGTTGTTGAGTTGTATAAACATGTAGTGATGAGATGCATGTTTAAGTTGAGATATATAAGAATTAGAGGAGAATAAAGTTATTTTAAAAATTTAAAATATTTCTTTGTGTGGATATAAGTTATGGTACTCTAAGAGTCCAAAGTTGAGAACCCTTCAACTGGTAAGTTGGCTCCTAAATAGACAACTGTTTTAAAGTTTTCTCCTATAAATTTTATATAGAAACACTATGGGGTCAAGTTGAACCATACTAATTATAAAGAGACCAAATGTAGAACTGTCTGGATGCTAAGTCGAGTCATACGTGTATAAAATAACTAACTAAGTCAGATATGAAGTCAAAGGATAAAATCTTTAATTGATTGTTGGAAAAATGTATAGTATTCAGAGGGTGTTTAGGGAGCTAATTCCATATGAGGTTCAGATATCCATGCTAAGTTTGTAGTAAGCTAACACTCAAGCTATTTCACCTTGACAGTTATATTAGTCTTTTCTAATATAAGTGGTAAAACCTGATTAATCATTTTAAGTTATTTACCAGGCGCTCAAAAAACCTTAAAGTAGTGATGCTTGATCTGGTTGTGATAAGTCAAGTGGATGTAGTTTAATAGGATCAAGTCACTTAGACTACTCACCTTTGTTGTAGGAGATCTCCATAAGTTAATATGTATGATGACGCATTAGTTGTTTAAAATTGAGAATGTTATTTGTGTTGTAAGATGTATTTGATCAATGGAAGTTGTAAATGATGATAGTAAGTTGGTATTATGCCATGAGAGAACTTGATGTTGTTTAAGTTGAACTTGATTGATGAAGTTGTTATTTCTTCATTTTGTTATGTTAATTCTTTCACAAGCTTACCCTTTCTTTTTCTTGTAGTTGGATTACAATGATCATACTTGCATTGAGAACAGAACATGATTAGCTTGGATGGTTAGTTTATTGGTGGATGATCATGTTGGAGATGACTAATTTTGTACATACTACTCTGATGTTGTATGGTTGTGTATATATAGATAGTTGATCAACGATAAAACTTATGTTTTCAATATTGTTAGAAGACTAGGAAGATAAAAATGAAGAAAAGTAACAATTGTCTAGAGGTCTACAACTGTTTTCTATTATTTCAATTTTTTAATGAGTTGTATTTCTTTTCTAGTCTTGGGTAGTGCATATATAAGCTTCCTTGTGTATGATTGAATCAATGAATGAATGAATCATTTTTTTTTTTAAGTTTTTCTTCCTAAAGCATAGTTATTTCACATGGTATCATGAGCTCCAGTTAGGAGTGTTTTTCCCACTGCATTCCTTTTCTTGATCATTCTTTTTGTTGTTCCTTTCTTTGTTTGATTCTCCATCATGGTGGCGAAACCCACAAAACCCAAACCTATTGATCCTTCCAACCCTCTTTTCATCCATTGCAATGAAAGTCCTTGCATGACTCTAGTTTCTGTTGTTCTTAGTGGAAGAATTATCATCCCTGGTCAAGAGTAATGACTTTGGCTCTCAAATGCAAGAACAAATTCCATTTGTTGATGGAACTTTGCCAAGCCAAAAAAGGATGATCCTAGTTTTGAAGCTAGGAATAGACGCAACACATTGGTAATTTCTTGGATAAACGAAACTCTTAGTGGAACTATCTCAGAAAGCATTTTGTGGTTTGATATAGCCAAGCAGATATGGGACAATTTGAGGAAAAGGTTCTATCAAGGAGATGTTTTTCTTATAGCTCAGATTCAAGGAGAGTTGTATAATCTTCATCAAGGTGATCAAGACATTTCTGAGTATTATACTCAGATGGAGAAGTTGAAACAAGAATTGGAAAGTTTTAGGCCAACTTTAATTTGTTCTTGTGATCCAGCTTGTAGCTATGATCTTTTACCTAACAGTCAAGCTCAAAGAGAGAGTGATTATGTGATTGCTTTCCTTAAAGGTTTGAATGAAAATTACACAATTGTAAGGTCCCAAATCATGTTAATGAACCCTTTACTCGATATTGATAAAGCTTTTGATTTTTTGAGTCAATAAGAGAGACAAATGGAATCTCAAGCAGAAGAATCCAAGATCTTGGTCAGTTCCAACTCACAAGATAAAAGAAGTTTAAAGGAAGGGCCAAGATGGCACCTACAAGTTATGTTAAAAATTCCAAATCTATTATTCTTCAAAGTATTGTCAATTTTGTGAGAAATTTGGTCATACAAAAGATATATGTTTCAAGAAACATGGTTTTCCCTCACATTTCAAAAGAAATTGTACTGCAAATAATTATTTTAATGATGAAGATGATAGTTGTGAGAGTATTGATGAGCAAGAATCCATGGAACTAGGACATGAAGGTTTCATTGAAGATGTTATGTTTGATTTTACTCCTGAACAAAAGAAGGCTATATGAGCAATTCTACATCGACCTTCAACTTTACATAGCATGAATCAGGTGACATTAAAGCTCTCAACCTCCAAGTAATCTCAATCAAAGGGAAATATAGGTAAAATCCTAACTATTAGTTTTAATGGTGAGAAATTGGATTGGATAATAGATATTGGAGCAATAATTCATGTGTGC